CAGACTGTTAGGAGGAAAGGAGAAGGAAGAATAACCATTGTGGTGATTAATGTGTGGTCACGAATAACAGAAGAGAGGAAAAAAAAACACTTGCATACCCGTCAAAAGTAGAGCTAGTACATTCCGAAACTTTTTCTGGATGATTTTTAAGTTGCAGGAAATAGTCGCAATTGTCACAACCTTCCCGCTTAAACTGCTCGGCGTTCTATAATGAATCGTAAAATTTAAGATTCCGATTATGCGTTATACAGAAAAGTTTTTGTACTTTTTTCTCTTAAACATTGTGATATCAGGATTTGACAAGTATGTCTTTACGGAAATTCAGTGGAAAATACCTTTACAATGGAACACACCAAACACGCTCGAAGTTGTCGTGTGGCCTGAGGAACTGATGCCATTGTGGTTCAACTTTGCGATAGATGTTGAATGCTCATGTGCATGTACTGTACGTTATCATGTGGTCACGTGGTAATTTAAAAACGTCATTTAGAAAACGGGATATAGTGTATTATTATTTTTATTGTTTATTTTATTCCGATTACTGTATAATTAAGTGTAATGCGCTTTACTCTCTGGTGGCCATATGTAAACTTATTATTTTTCTTTTATGCCGAAATCTTAGAATAAATCATCATAGAATCCAAAGGATTGGGTTTTCGATGAAATCATAACGTGTACTCTTACCATACCTCTCGCGTACGAGAGGAATTCAATTCTCGCTTTGCTCACTTTCAACATCACCCTTACTTCCGTTGATAGCTTTCATTATACTATTAATGCTAAGGGTACGAATGTTGTCCTGATAACTTGTCTCGGAGGCATTCGAGTGGTATGAATTATGTTGCTGGCGTTCATGCCCTTTGGCGCGAGACCTTGATTCATATTGATCTTGACGCAGGTAAATACTGACCCCTTGTGCTGCGAAACATTTAGACAACGGAGTGCATTCTTTTTGTCAAATGACGGTCGAGATAACTTAGCTTTAGGGTTTCGTCACGAGTTTTTAAGATAAACTTGGAGAAAAATATCGAGGATAACTTACTGGCAACACCGGGAAATAATTTACTGCGGAAGACGGTAAATTTTTTGGAATTTACTGTTGCTAATTCAGACATAGGTTCCACACCCGTATTAAGAGATCCGTGCCTGTATAACGATGATAATTGATATTTATTTCGGCATGAACTTAACAACATAAAACAGATCGATATAACAAGTGATAAATAAGCATACCATCCAAGGCAATGCAACGAAAACCTCAGGAAATAATCTTTTTCGGTTCGCACGCTCAACGAAGAAAACACAAACCACAAACCCGGTATACCCTCCAAGTCATTAAGCACGCGACAAATGGAACTTTTGTTTCCTACAAGATTATCAATCCTTTCGTATCGTCGATTCGAACATATCACCCATGTTTCAGTGTTGTCCTCGCCGGATACGGCGTCATGGAGAGTTGCATGGAGATGGAAAAAATGAGTTTCTATTTGTCTTCGTTTTCGTAAATAATGAGATTAGTAATGACATAGCAAATTATCAGTGTCACAAATAACCTACTCAATATTCACAGGTCCATTAACAGTATGAACATGTAATTTGATAAAAATAGCGGGGGAAATCAGGCGAAAATCCTGTTTATTTTTGATAAAAGATTTCATTATACAATTACAATACTGATGACGCATGAATAAGTTACATTATAATCCGAAATTAAAATTGCAAACCTTGCTTCCAAAACCACATGCACGTGCGCGGCTAGGATTTTGAACAACTTCAAGGTGATACCCCCAGTTACCGGGTAAACTGAATTTTTTTAAAAAAAAGAAAAGAAAGAAAAGCCAAAGTGAAATTACAGAAAAAAAAAACGAGTCTTCGGAATCACGAAATTCACAATTTCACGCATAGAGAGGATTCAATTTACATTGATTTTTCGTGATTTCGTTTACACAATTAATTTTTCGTATCCCAACTTACCAGCTATAGTTGCAACCCGGTCTCTGAGAAATTGTTTCGGGAGCACTATCTAATAACGGTCTTAAATACTCGCACCTTCCTTTGATAGTCGGGCATACTTTCGACCTCCACAAATAATCCATTGACCCATTATCTTCTTCGATAATTGGGCAACCTTTCGGCCTTGCCGAAAACTTTGATTGACCAGACTTCGCCGACTTACCATCCCATCTTTCGACTTTGGGTACGTCGTATCGAAAGGCTGTCTGTGGAAACAGACTCCTATTTGGAGAGTGGGATGGGGCGAGGGATGAAGGAATGGTGAAAGGAGTTGAAGAATAAGGTTGAAATGCCGATTTACGAGCTTGGAAGAGAATTGGAGGGTAGGGAAATTTGGGGGGGCAAGGAATTTCGGGGTGAAAAGGCATTGTGGTTTGGTTGTACTTTTGCAAGTGATTCTGTATATATTATCGTAAAGAAAAAATTAGACTCTTGCCATGGAGAAAGGAAAAAAAGAGTACGCTTATTGGAAAAGTAGTGAGATAAAATGAAAAGAATAATGAGTATTTCTTTAAATTTCTTCGAATATTGGAACCTTTGCTTATAGCGTTTCGCGACCTATTAAACCACAATTGATTCCCAAAGACTTTATATTCATAGAATATATAAGTAATTTTTCTATGATATTACGCAATATACTTTCGATCCCTCTTAAGAAATAAACCAATTATGTCCTTAAATAGGGAGCATTTGTTGTTATACGACATTCGGATACAAGTTTTAAACACGGAAAGCAAGTTTTTGGGATAATAACAATTTTAGTCGCCTGAAAAGTATGGCAGATAAGATGGGATATCTTAGCTGCCAAAATCTATGTAACTTGAAACCTTCACCTTTTTTTTCTCGTTCGTCCAATCGTAGATAATCATTCTCATTTGTTGAATACCCGAATGCAAGCGGTTTTCTCCTTTTACCTTATTCAAGGGCCATTGTGCATAAACCTATTTTTTTCCATTTATTTATTCGCGTCATACGTACTCAAACCCAATGCATTGAAGTCGGCGACGATCTTTCACTCAAGCCACAGGTAATCTTTTATTTTTTACTATCTACATCTATAAATATTTGTGATTCATGAAACAGCATTATTTTATATAATGAATCCAATTTAAGTTTGATTTTATTGTTTTTTTCTTCTAATTTCCATTCAAAAATTATCAAGAGGAGTTATAGTTTACTGATATTGAAGATTAATAATTTTTCTGATCTTCAATAGGTTTTCATACGTGAGATTGTATTCATTTTTTTTTTTTTTTTTTTTAATGAATACACTACAATAGTGTATTACAGAAATTAAGTTATATTGTAATAATAATAAATTACTTACGTTCCAAACATTATTGTTAAAAAACGTTCCGTGATCGGCTTTGAACGTGACAATAAGGTGCACCAAAAATATTCGCAAATCCAATGGGATAAAGATACGTTAAACTTTTTGCGGATTTGAGAGTCACGAAATTGCAGAAAAAAATAAATAAATAAAAAAAGGATTTGTTGGATAAAATGAGAGTACATAAATGGATCAATATATTTGTATTCAATGTTGTAAATAAAACGAACTGTACCTTCCCCAATTTAATAAAGCAAAACTTCGAAATCAAGAACGCGATCCACGTTATTGTTTTTTTAATAATGTATCTGTACATATGTAGCACATGTTTTTGCATGTAAGTGTGTAACACCTGCAGAATCCCATATGTACAAATTATGAGAAATCCCTGAAATTCGAGATTTCTTGTATGGCCTTTCTTTGGATATTGACTTAATAATTCGCAATGTCACTGGTTTTATTTCAGGTAATAGAACAAGTGAGAACTTGGAAATTCATGTCTCATGTGCATCAACCAAATTTTATTGTGATACCTAATTGCTATTAAAAAAATGCATAATCAAATTACGATTTTTTAATAAGAGTCAGAACATACTGTACATGCCTCATTTTTAGTACCGGTACTATTCACGAATCCAGCAATATTATACTTTATTGGTAGAATACTAATAAAACAGTTTCGTAAAGTCAAACATATGCACTCTGTCTCCTCTATCAGTTTAAAGAGAGAGTTAAACGGTAATTTATATCCAGACATACAGTATATAATCGATAACACTATATTATACAGCAATACCTCTGATATAAAAGTACCCGGACACGAATGAAAATACCTTGAAAACCTATGTTCGACTTTTTTTTATAAATTTTATTCCCGTTACAGACAAATATACTGTATGCACTATATACAGTACGTGTATATGTATATATATATATATTTTTAATTTGTGACATTCTTCGCGACAATAAATAAAATGATTTTACTGATTAACTTGCTGATAGAACTATTTTATAATGAGTATCTAAAACTATATATTTCTTTAAAGTATATTTAGTATAATATATTTAGTTAAAATTATATATTTAATAGAATTAAATTTTGCTTTTTACTTTTTACAATATAGTTTTTTTTTTTTTAACTATTTTTTACAATACAGTATATTTTATTGGTTGTTCTGCGATATACGGGGTACTATTATCACTGTGATGTAACTCGCGATATAATCACATTTTACTATTGAAT